AGAAGTGATAATAAGGGTTAAAATTCAATTTGTGGTTCAGAATAGATACCCAACATTTGATTGCATGGTTGGTTGAGTTTTTTAAGTTCTGTATCATAATTAGCTACCAAATGTACTAATAGTATTAATTGTTTGGTATAATTTATCTGTCATAGAATATGCATTCATTCAATAATATTTTTAGAGCATTTTCTATCTCCAGGTGCTATCCTAGAAATGTGGAATATAGCAGCAAACAAAAACTGATAATTGTTTGGTATAATTTATCTGTCATAGAATATGCATTCATTCAATAATATTTTTAGAGCATGTTCTATCTCCAGGTGCTATCCTAGAAATGTGGAATATAGCAGCAAACAAAAACTGATACAGTTTCTGCTGTAAGGGAAAAAAGTTCCCTCTTTGGAGGAAGGACCTCCATCTGCTGGGAAGGGAACATACACGTTATATTTGAAGGACAGCAGGGAGGCCAGGGTGGCTGGAGTAAAGGGGTTGCAGCACAGAGTGGCAGGAAGTGAGTCTGGAGAGATGGGGGCAGATCACACAGGAGCTGAGAGAGTGGACCACAGGAAAGACTTTGGATCTGACTCCAAATGCCACAGCAAGCCGCTGGAGGGCTCAGGGGTCTGTGACAGGGTTGCACTTCAATAAGATCTCACTGGCATTGATGAATACTGCAGTCTGCCAGTGCCATGTTCTAATAAAAGCTGGAGAAAAAAGACAAAGAGCCAAATTATAAGAAGTAGTAAAATTTCAAAATAGTTATTGTTTATAGTAAAATCCTAGTGATTTTCATGACAGTACTTGTACTATATTGTAAGAAGATTCACTCCTGGAAATTGGCCACAAATTAGGGAACATATCCTATATACATCTTCAAAAGTTTTATTAAGCAAATGTTTCTGGAAATCCATGTAGGATCCTGAACCATCTAGATGGAACTGATCCATAAATGGGGCTGGAACAATTATTCCCTGTGGAAAAATAACTGAATATCCCTCCCTCACATCAGATTAAGAAAATGAATCACCAGTGAATGAAAACCAAAATGACAAAAGCAAACTTTAAAACACTTAGAAGAAAATATGACTATAGGAGAAGAATCATGATATCTCACGAAAACCAATTGTGGCACTGTAAAGTGCATCAGCAGAAGGCACTGGGCAAGCACTATAGGGGCCGCAGAAGCATGTGATATAGTCTTTGGTGTCTAATGATGCCATTATAGCTGAGCACCGTGAAAGCCACTGATGCAGTGCTCTCTAGAAGTTCTAGAATTTGGTATTAGGCTAGACTAGGCTGCAGTGACATAGAAATACCAACATCTCCATGGCTCAACATACGAGAGTTTTATTTTGTGCTTCCAGAGCAGGCCTCGAAGTGGATTGCACTACTTCTGCCCTTCTCCTATTGACCAGACCTTGGTCACATGGCTCCAATTTCACTGCAAGGGTGTCTGCCCAAGAAGAAGAAAAGAGGTGGTGGACATGTAGCACAGTTTCTCTGCCACAGCGTACTTGCTTTATGTTTCTGTCCTACAACCTATTTCTTTGTATTTTCAATATAAAACTTTTAAGCATACCCAAAAAGAAAGAGAGTAATATAATGAACCCTCATGTACCCATCACCCAGATTCAACAATTCTCAAGATTTTGCCATTCATCAATTCCCCTTTTTTATGTTGCAGAGGTATTTGAAAGCGTATTCCAGACCACATGTCATTTAGCCCCTGCAGACTTCACATGCATCTCTAAAATATATGTATATGCACCATGTTTTAGTCTGTTTCTGTTGCTTATAACAGAATACACAGAACTGGGTAATTTATAAAGAAAACGAAATTTATTACTCACAGTTTCAGAGGCTGGGAAGTCCAAAGTCCAGGGAATACATCTGGTGAGTCTTCTTTGGCGATGGCTTTACAGCAATGCATGGGTCTCACATGACAGAAAATGGCAGAGCAAAGGCCTTTTAAAGCCCTCAGAACCAGGCCCCAACCACCTTTATTAATCCATTCACTGTGGTATGGTCCTACAATCCAATCACCTCTTCAAGGCCCCACCTTCAATTACCAAAATAGGATTTCCCACCCTCAACAGTTACGATGGGGATTAAGAAGCCTCAATGAGGTTGGGGAGTTGGGGGGCATCCAATCTGTAGCACACCAATGTGGATGAATTTTACAAACATAATGTTGAGTAAAAGAAGTCTGACTCCTAATTTGAGTATGTACTGTATGGCTCCGTTTATATAAAGTTCCAAAACAGGGAAAAGTAACCTTTGGTGTTAGAATACTGGTTCCTTTTGGACCTTGTAGTTATCATTGGGGGAGATAGTGACTGGAATGTGTAAACTGGGGAGGTGGGATGGAGGTGGGCTTCTGGAATGCCAGGAATGTTGTTTCTCAATCTGGATCTGGCTCATTTTGTGCATACTCCTGTGGTCTGTGCACTTTTCTATATGTCTTACTTCAATGAAAACCTTACATTAAAATATGGATATTTTCTCATTATTATAATGAAGTTATCACATCTGATGAAATTATTAAAAATTCCTTAATATCATCTAATAACCAGTCCATATTTAAATTTCCTCAAATTTTCCAAAAACATCTTTTTACGATGGTTTTGATAAAAACGGGATCCACACAAGATTCACACTATGCATTTTCTTGTCATGTCTCTTAAATCTTAAAAATTTGACAGCTTTACTGAGGTATAATTAACATGCAATAAACTGCATGTACTTAAAGTGGATAGTCTGATAAATTTTGATTTAGATATACATAGACATACACCTGTGAAACCATCACCACAATCAAGATAATAAGCATATCCATCACCCCCAAAAGTGTCCTTGAAGCCCTCGGTGTCCCTCCCTACCAATCCTCCCCATCCTGGAAGCCACTCATCTGCTTTCTGTCACTGTAGGTTAAGTCCCTTTTAATTTAGAGGAGTCTCCTCCCCTTACCTCCCCCATGCCATTGCCTTGTGGACAAAACCCAGTCGGTGCTTCATGGAGTGTCTGCATTGGAGATGCACCTGTTCACTTCCTTGTGGTGTCCCTTGACTTGTTCCTCTACCCACATGTGTCCCATAAACTGGAAACTCCTTTAGAAGGCTTGATTAGATTTCATTTCCACTTTTTAAATTTGTTTTCTTGTTTCTTTCTTTCTTTTTTGTTTGTTTTAGTGGTTGTTGGCAAGAATGCTTCCCAGGTAGTGCTGTGTACTTCCTACTGCAACAGCTCAGAAGGTACAGAAGGTCTAGTGGTCCCACTCTTAGGGATGCTAAATCAAGCAGCAGGTTGTAACAGCCTGATCCCTACTTTGTCAATTCCCCCATCAGCTTTTTATCTAACAATTTCATCTGTCCATGATCTTGCTTGAATTAATTACTTTCCTTGGGTATTCAAAATGGTAATTTTCTAATTCTATCAATCTTTCCTCATTTAGTAGCTGGAACTCTTAAAAGAAGCACTTCCCGGGGCCGGCCCGGTGGCGCACTGGATAGTGCGCCAC